GGCTTCAGGTCGTCAGAAGGCTTCAGGTCGTCAGAAGGCTTCAGGTCTTCACGTCTTCAAGGATTCAGGTCTTCAAGGCTTCAGGTCGTCAGCAGGGCTTCAAGGCTTCAAGGCTTCATGTCTTCAGAGGAAAGTCACCCGCGATTGCCAACACTCTGACCTTGCGGTTGGGAGATTGGCAGGCGATGCGCTCGCCGGCGTCGGCTGATTCTGATCCGATCGACCTTGAGGGTTTTGCTCCAAATCCATGCCATGTGCCACTTCCTCGGATTGAGCCTCCACCGCAGTTCGAGTGGGCGTGGTGCGGAAGCTGGACACGTGATGTGTCACTGGCTGAGCAGTGCAGTTCTTGGCCCAGGGATGGCCACTGGCGGAAGCTCTTCACAGGCACCAGCTCCAAGATCGTGAACAAGGAAGATGTGTGGATCAATGTGGCAGGGTTTGGTCAGTCCACATACCGCTTCAGGTTCAAAGGTGAGATGGTTTTCAAGGGCGAGATGGTCTACCTCTATGAGAATGTCACAGAGAAGTGGCACAACGTCTTGATCAAGAAGGTCGGCTCTGCAATCATTGTGAACTTCGAGAAGGTCTACAACGAGGACCAGACCAAGGTGGCTGTTGTGTGGAGCTACGCCTTCACAGGCAACCGGCTGTGGGCAGTGATCTATGATACCACCGCTCGGCCGACCATCAAGGGCTGTTTCGATGATTTGCTGAACCAGGGAGTTCGCGCAGGGCTGTGGACTTGCAACCAGACCTTCAAGCTTGCCAGCGGAGCGCATCCAAATGGCAGAATGAATTTTGAAGAAGTTTAGAGTGTTCTACTCATTGCCCATCAGCCGGTCACAACATGAGATAACATGAGAAGTCTGACCGTCTATATGCCATGAGGTTTTGACTGGACACGCATTTGAGCGAGAGAAAATCTGAATGAGACATGTGACTTGCATGTTTTCCTTTCTTTTGACAGTCGTGCACTGCATGTGGAGAGTCATGTCCAGGTGTCCACCGTGCACGTCATGTGGAGAGTCATGCGCGCGTGTCCACCGTGCACGTCATGTTGACGCCCATGCCACGTCGACGCCCATGGAAGCATGGAAAGGCCCATGTCTGAACATGAAGACCCATGTCCACAGGCCCAAACACAGGTCAGCATGTCAACATGACAAACTTCATGACAACATGTCAGGACGCATGTCAACACAATATAGGACAGCGTGTGGGAGACACGTGTCACCAGTTCATTTTGAGGGGCATGACATACTTCTTCTCCTTGATCAGTTTTGTTTGGTGTGTGATGTCGCACCTCCTATCTGAGCTGAAGGAGATCCAATCCTTCCTCGCATCGCAGAAGAACACTTTGGGGAAGCACTTCTCTGAAGTACGGGACGCGCAAGCAAAAGGTCTGGTTGGGACGCCCTGCTTGTGCTTTTCACATGTCATGTCACGCATGCACGTTTTGGGCTTTTGCTTGTGGGAGGACAGGTTATGTTTTAAGTAGTTGATGTTTTTATAATAAGATGACAAACAGCTGTAAGGAAGATCCGAGCATTGGGTGAGGTCACTCCAGCATTTGCAGTTCAGTTTGCAGATGCATTGGCTGGAGGACCATGGACAGAGGCTCAGGCAGAGGCCTTGTCTCACGAGGTGGGAAAGCGGCTTGGTGCAGATAACGATTCGTCAAAGAAGAAGAGAGTGCCACAGGTATGCTTCAGCTTCGAGAGCTTCTTGACGAAGAAGGAGGTGGCTGACCTTCATGGCAGTGCAAGTTCTCTCTCGAAGGTGAACCTGCTGGCGAAGAGAGCTGCTCTGATTGGACTGACGAATCCAAACGAGCAGACGGTGGGCCACGTGGTGAGACTCCTGGCGGGCTTGGGGGTTCCTGAGTTGAAGAACCAGAAGTTGTTTCATGCAGCAGTGCAGGACTTCAAACAATGTCTGAAGAGCAACATCAAATCACTCGGCTACCCGCAGGATCACATTAAATCATTTGATGGCCCTGAGAACCTTCCTGAAGAGGTCAAGAAGCGTGCCTATACAGAAGATGACGAGATGGTTGAGGCTGGGGACATCAAGACTGACGACATGGCTGTGGTCAAAGTTTTGAGGAAGAGCCATAGAACTGTCAAGGATGCTGCACCTTCGTCGTCTTCCACGGCTCTGGTGGCAGCTACTCCTGGTCCAGTCAGCAGCATGGGTAGCCTGCGTGAGCTTGTTGAGTGCCTTGACTCCTTGATGCCTTCAAGCTTTCAGCCACGCCACAGTCATGCCTCGCCACTGTCATGCCATGCCATGGTCATGCCATGTTCACGCCATGCCTTCATCATGTGGTGTAACCTCATGCTCATGTTGATGGTTGTTTTCATACTATCATGACGCACCGGCAAACTAAAGTATACATGTTCTCACGATCATACCACTGTGCATCTCAAAGTGCTTGTTCAACAACATGTACTTCTTCACGTCCAGATGTATATTTTTACATGTTCACAGTCACAGTTCTTTCATGTTCTTCAAATTGTATCCGAGGTTGGCTGTGCAGGGCATGATGCAGCAACGTCAGCCACCTCCTGTGGACTTGCCCGGCTTCAAGTTCCTCGGCTCCAAGGCAAAAGAGACGGTTGCAACCAAAGATGAATCTCCCTCGAAGAAGCCGGACAAGGTAACGGCTGCCCTTCCAGAAGTGCACAGTCCTGATGCTGCTAGTGAGCCTGAGAATGACAATGACAAGACTGAGCCGCTGTCGGCCAAAGAGCAGGCCGATGCAATGCTGAAGGCATTCAAGGCCCGCGGCGAAGATGATTCAACAAAGTGTTCGAGAGGTCGCCCAAGGAAGAGGCCTGCTGCTGCAGATGCTTCGCCCATGAAGAAGTCCGCGATGAAGGCCATGAAGAAGGTCGCGATGAAGGCCATGAAGAAGGTCGCGATGAAGGCCATGAAGAAGTCCACGAAGACGTCTAAAAAGTCAGTTCAGAACTCCAAGAAGTTGCTTGCCAAGAGCAATGACCAGAAGGCCAAGAAGGAGAAGGTCACTGCTCCTGAGATGTCAGCAGATTTGGCCAAGATGGCCAAGCTCTCGAAGGCACAGCGAGTTCGATTCAGGCCAAACGGGTGTTCCAAGTGCCGGAACTCACCAGGCTGCAGTCCTTCGTGCTTTCGTTAGATCTTCATGAAGGCAGCAGAGTGCCTATAGTGCAAGTTCGTTGAGATTGAAAAAACTTGTTTGTGTGCAGCTGGAGGGCTGAGCTCCCAGACTGAGAGTGTATCGATGTCCTGAGCTCTGACGTGTATAGATTCAAAGCGCTCCAAGCGCTGGGGTGAATCTGATCTGGCTGACACTGATAAATCCTGCTGACTCTTGCGCGTGGGCATGTTGCTTGCGCGCATGGATTTCTCATTTGTTTCAAGGACCATGCCATGATTCATGTCATGCATGCCCATGATTACAAGCCCATGTCACCGCACGTTCACGTGGAAGATTGCGCGAACATGCCGCATGGATTCGACTCACAAAAGTGTTTCTGAACATGCATGGTCATGGAATGGAAGCTTCTGTAAATGACCATGGTTCAAAGCTGCTTTACACATGTCATACTGTCATATGCCATGGACTCATGTTGTACCCTGGACCCACATCAACCCATGCAGCCAACACGTTCAATTGTACTTGACACAGCTCACATATGTGCATACATCAACTCACATGTGCATGACATAAGGGGATGAATGACGTGACATCACATGAAACATGTCGTGTCTTCAAAAGTCATGTGCATACATCAGCTCACATGTGCATGACAGAAGGGAATGAATGACGTGACATCACATGGCATTTCCAGCAAACATTGGAATTAGTCCGTTTGATTCCACTTGATATATACTTTACTTGGTGCCATGGAAAGCCATGAACCTAAGCCAATTTGGTAGGCGCTCATTTGTCTCACTCAGAGGCCTCGAGAGCGTTCTCAAAGACATCGAGCGTCATGGGCTGCCAAAGGCTCATTCACGGAGTACGATAAAGAGAGCTCGTGAGAAGCAGATCGAAGAGTACTCGACTTCCTACGGCCCTGTGCTTCAAGCTCTTGAGGTGCCTCTCAGTGACGGCAGTGGAAACACAACCATTTTCGTCTCCCACCCTGTCTCTATCATCCAGAGCGCTATCACGCATTGCAAGCTGTTTCGTGAGCACTTTGTTCGACGCTGCAATGATCACCCTCCTCGCCCAGACCGCAAATGGCAGTTCGCGGTATACTCAGACGAGGTTACACCAGGTAACGCCTTGAAGCACAACAACGAACGTAAGCTCCAAGTGTGCTACTTCTCAGTGACTTGATTCATTTTCTTCTGCATCATTTTTGTTCTGTGCACTCACTTCCCAAGGTGTACACCTGCCAAGGGTGGTCGGTCGGGGGTGTAAATGTGTTTTGACACGCATAACTTTCAGTCATTCTTGCCAGGTGCTTGAGTTGGGCTCCTGGGCCCTTTCTCGAGAGGCATTCTGGTTTTGCCTCTGCGCGGTGAAGTCGAGCACTGTTCAGAAGATTGGCGGTATGAGTTTGCTCATGCCTCATCTTCTGGACCTATTTCGCATGCCTTTTGACACCTCGAGTGGCATTTACTTGCGGCGTGAAGATTGGCGGGTCATGTTCTTTGGACAAGTGGCGCTGCACATTGGAGACGGAGACGAGGTGGCGTGCAAGTCTGTCCTGGGTGTCAAGGGAGCCGCCGGGACAGTGTTTTGCGCTTGCTGCCAGAATGGTGTTGACTTCAAGAGTGCTTTGCAGGATCACGATGACCGGCTCATACCGTCAACATGCCTGGAGTTCTCGAGGTTCCGTCAGCACGCAACTGAGAGCGTCAGGGACGCACATGAACTGTTGCGTGAACGCTGTGAGGTTGAGACGGCTGCAGGCTTCAAGCTTTTAGAGCAGAGCCTGGGTTTCAACTGGCATGAACGAAGCCTGTTGAGCATCCCGCGCCACCAGTACCTGCTGAGCGCTACGATGTTCGACTGGTTCCATATTTATTTTGTGCATGGGGTTGCTTCCATTCACGCTGGACTCACAATAGCAGAGCTCCACAAGGGAGGTCACCAGGCTCAAGACATAGCCTTGTTTGTTCAGGCCTTTGTGATGCCGCGTCGACTTCAGGGAGCCAGGCCTAAGGCTTGCCTGGAGAAGCGGTCCAACAAGACAGATCCTTTGAAAGGAAGCGCTTCAGAGACCATCAACTTCCTGTTGATCCTTCGGTGCTATATTCTACATTTTGTTCTTGATGACTGCAGCCCTGGACTCAGAAGGTGTTGCCAGTCCTTCCTGCGCCTGTGTAGCATCACGGACACGCTCCTTCAGAGTTGGAAAAACCAGACACTGGGCTGCAACACGCCATGTCACATCACATCATGTCACTTATCCTCATGGACATGTATGTGACTGGAGTGTCGAAAGGTGTTTTGAGCCATGTCGTATATAGCATGTTGCTTCATGGACGTCATGGGAAGGTCCTGTTATACGATGCATGTCATGGGATGGTCATGCCGCGTCATGTCAATTGTGACATGTCATTGGTTTCTCCTCATGGCATGCGGCGTGGGCAATATGAATGTTGTCAGGTGTTCAACGCCAATGATATATATGTTTTATGTGAGGGTTGCGCACTGTTCACCGATGTCTCGTCCAGGGAATTGCAAAGGTCTTTGAGTGTTGTTTAGACGTCAATTATATACACCTGTTGAGACAGGGTGGTCACCAAGTTTCAATCTGTTGAGACCGGGCGTTCACCAAACTGCAAGTTTCAACCAATGTCATGATGGTTTGGTTGTGGACAGAGTCGATGCACTCATGACAGTTCATGCAATGTCTTTGTTCATGGGCATGCTGTGCTCACATGCGTTTTCATGCCATATCCTTGTTCATCGACTTTCATGGAAATATGGAAATGCGATGTGTGAGTTTTCATGCCAAGTCTTTGTTCATGGACATGGGATGTGTATATATGAGTTTTCATGCCATGTTTTGCGCATGAACAATGAACTTGCGCAGTTCTCATGAGTTTACATGCCATGTCATGCCATGTCATGAAGGTTCATTATATAACTTATATAACATACTATATGATTTCCCTTTCCACTGTACTTTGGATCTCACCAAGGTCCTGCATTTCAAAGTTTGCCCGGGAGATACAACTTCACTTGTCTACCTTCCAGAGCAGTCATGGATTGGAATACTGGACGCCAAAGTTTCACAGCTGCTTGCATTTACCGTCCATGTGGAGAAAACATCAAATGCTCCTGGCATGCTTCTGCCAGGAGAGGAAGCACCGCATGGTGAAGCGCATAGTGAACCATGTGAACAACCCTGCCCGGTCATTTGAAAAGAGTGTCATGCAGGACACGACTCTGAGACAGTTCGAGATGATGGATGACGAGGTTTCGATTCCACGCGAGTGGCCATGTTTGTTGGAAGCGCAGCCGGCATCATCAAAGATCTCTGACATGATTTCGATGGCCCTTCAGCTTCCTGCAAATGTTGATGTCAAGTCTTCACGAAGGGGCATCACGGGCGGCTCTTCTGAGGTGGCAGTTGGCGATGTAGTGGTCTTCCTTGAGGCCAGGGTCGACCGCAAACACGTTGGCTCTGTCAAGTGGCTCTGCCAGATTGAGGACACATGCATGGCATGCCTCGACGTGTGGGAGCATGTGGCGAAGTCTCTGTACAGAGTGGTCGACAACTGCCAACTTGTGCCTCTTGCATGTGTCACAGACACGTGCATGTACAGCATGAAGGAAGGGGGAGCGCTCGTGATCTGGTGAAAATGAGGTTTCTGCGTCAAGCTGTCAACATGTTCATGGGGTTCACATGACATGCAGTCAACATGTTCATGAGACCCACATGACATGCATGAACACGTTCATGAGGCCCACACGACGTGCAGTCAATGTGTACATGGGATCATTTCTGACATGCACTGGCCCCCTCGCAGGTGACGCCAGCAGCTGCCGTGCCCAGGAGGGAAGAGCGGCTCATATAGGGTTGGAACCCTTTTGGGTAGACACTTAGGACACATACTAACTGCTCTAAGTGCACATAGCTAAGTGTGCTAAGTGTTTTCGTATGTGTTGTAAATGATTAGTATGTATGTACGCTAAGTGTTTACTAACCACGGTGGACCTTTAAGTAAATAAATAAATATCTATTTATTTATTTTTTAAATTGGTTTAATTGTTTTAATTCAATTATTTAAATACCGGTAAGTCTTCTATTCCCTTTCTTTTTGTTTTCCTTGATATTTAATTTGTTAATTCTTTTTTAAATCCAGTTAAATAATTGAATATATTTTTATTTAATTTTTTAATTGGAAAAGAACAGGAAATCAAATTAAATAATAAAACAATTAAATATTTGCTTATTTTTTATTTAATTGAAAAAGAAAAGGAAATCCAATTAAACAATCAAATAGTTAAATATTTATTATTAAATATTAAATTGTTTTAATTGTTTTAGTTATTTAAACTTCTATTCCCTTTCTTTTTGTTTTCCTTGGTATTTAATTCTTTAATTCTTTTAAATCCAATTAAATAACTAAATAATTAAATATTTGTTTACTTAATTATTTAATTGGAAAAGAAAAGGACATCCAATTAAATAGTTAAATAATTAAAAAGAAAAGGACATCCAATTAAATAATTAGATAATTGAATATTTATTTATTTGATTATTTAATTGTTTTAATTGTTTTAATTATTTAAATACCGGTACGTATTCTATTCCCTTTCTTTTTGTTTTCCTTGGTATTTAATTTTTTCATTCTTTTAAATCCAACTATATAACTAAATAAGTAGAATATTTACTTATTTATTTAACTATTTAATTGGAAAAGAAAAGGACATCCAATTAAATAACTAAACAATTAAAAATTTATTGATTTAAATATTTAATTGGAAAAGAAAAGGAAATCCAATTAAATAACTAAATACGAGAAGTCCATGTACTAAAAGAAGCAGACCTCCCAAAGACTACTTGGGAAAACACAGAAAAAATATTCAATTCTACACACCCACATAGTCAATATAGATACGCAACTTTCGTGTGAAGCAATCATGGC